CTTCCGGGGGCACGGGGAGGTGCAGCGGGTGGAGGGGTGGCAGCGGAGATGTGGGGCTACGGGGCTGTGACTGTGTGGGGCACTCTGCTGAGGGGTATGCAGGTGTGCCTGGGGAGAGCAGGATGGCCTGGGGCTGTGCTGGGGTGAAGATAGGTCTTTTCTGTTTGTTGGTTTTTTGTTTTTTTTTCCAAGCACCCTGCACAGGAGCATGGGGGTTACATAGGGGTGCTGTGGGGAGGATGAGGGAGATGGGTGCACAGGATGTGTTCATATGGAGCACCCTGTGGAGGGATGCAGGGGGGCTATATGAGGGCAAACTGGGGGCAGATGTGCTTCTGGGTGTGCACGGGGGGTGTCCTGTAGGGCTGCCCTGCACAGCGGTGTGGGTGTCTGCAGGGATGCCCTGAGGAGGATGGGGAGTGCGGCAGTGGGGAAGAGGTGTGGATGGGGTGCTTCGCAGAGGCACCGGGTAAAATGGGGTGCAGCAGCCGGATGGGGAGGAGTGTGAGGTGTATCTGTATGGGGTGTATTCCGGGTGCCCACTGGTGGGGGGTGCCTTGGTGGGGCTGCATGTGGGGTCCACAGGGCCGCAGGTGCCCAGGTGGGTATGTGGCCTGTTTGGGGACGGGGCTGTGCTGGGGGGGCAGGACTGCATTCCTGTGGCTCTGCACAGCCCCATCCTGAAGCTGGCCTGGTGTTACTGGTGTCTCGCTGGTGATCCCAGAGATGGTGTTGGGGGAGGCAGGGGACGGGGAGGGTTCCTATCCCTCACCTCCCTGCCTGTCCTCCCAGTCGCCATGTCGGTGCCAAAGAAAAAGCGAAGGATGAAGGAGCTGAACAAGAAGGAGGCAGTAGGTGATTTGCTGGATGCCTTTAAAGAGGTGAGTGTCCCGGGGGTGTCCAGGGGTCACCCTGTGTCCCATTTCCTCCTGTGATGAACTCTGCTTTGTGCCATCGTGTCTGGGCCACTGATGCTCCGTGATGGTAATGAGGATCTGAGCGAGGCGGACACCTGGGTGCAGGGTAGAGGGGGCAGGAAAAGGCTCGAGGGGTAACTGCTGTCACTGTCCCTCCCAATGCAGTCTCAGATCAGCGACAGTGCCTCAGAGGCAGAGAACAAGCCTCCCACGTCTGCCCCTGCCCGCGAAGCGGAGGATGCGGCCCCTGCGCGTCCACAGGAAGAGTCGGAGGAGACGTGGGAGGAGAAGGAGGACAAGCTGGCCCCAGAGAAGGGCAAAGCTGCCGACCAGAAGTACCGCTACAAGGAAGGTGAGCCATGCCTTGGCCTGGGCTTCTGCTGGGAGCCACCACCTCTGGACACAGTGGTTGGGGAGGGGTTGGGGTGGCATGGTCTAGTTGTCCTAAACCTCATGCTCTCCTCCTATCTTGTCCTCCAGCCTGGCATGGGGTGGGGGACAGAGACCCCAGTGCAAGGGTCCTGGCAGGAGGCAGGGAGCTAGTGTCACAAGCCTTTCTCTCTTAAGCAAGCAGCAGTGTGCTAATGGCGTACCAGGCTGGGACAGCTCTGTCGTTGTCTGCATCCCACCTCACTAGTCTCTTGGATCTGCCATAGCTTGGGATAGAGGATACAGGACAAGCTGTGTCAAGGTCTCCCTCTGTCCCGACTGCAGAGCAATGGAAGCCACTGAACCCCG